GCCCGAAGGCCCCAGGCCCCCAAAATTTCGGACCGGGGCCGGCACGAGCGAAATGGGTACTCCAGATTTCGTAATAAAAGGGAGGGGGTCTGGACCCTCCAAGACAAGCCATTTCAGACCCCCCCCCGTGGGAGAACCCTCCAAAACATCGTCCCCAGACCCCCCCAGGCCCTCCAAGATGGCCCGGAAGAGACCCCCCCCGAAATGAGACCCCCTCCCTTTTACTACGAAATCTGGAGTACATAAAGAATGGGTACAATGCCCAACACCAGCTCCTCTTCATTTCGAACAGGACTCGCTGTGCGCGCCGCCGCGGCCTGTGTCCATCTGAGACACAAGGCCGCCTGCCCAACAGCGGCCGCTGTTGGTTTGGGACAGCATTTGTTGTTGGGCATTGTACCCACTTTTTCCGTACCCATTTCGGGCGTCCAAATGGGGGGGCGTGCGAGCTCCAGCGTGTTTCCTCAACATGTTCCGGAGTGCCCCCGCACTTGGAATTGACCGTCCCAGCGGTGACTTCGGGTTGGGTTCGTGGAGGACGATCAATGGAGAGGAAGCATGTTGCCAAATCATTTCCAGATGTCTAGAACATGTCGTAAACATGCTTTAAAGATGCTTTAAACATGTTTCAAACATGTTTAAAACATGTTTAGAACATGTTTCCCACATTTTGATGAACACATTTAAAATTCAATGATCGGACTGTTAGAGTGTCCATTGTCGTGGCATCCACAAGGTTAGGTTGGGGTGCTGAACTAGGTCGTCGCCCAATGTTTGATTCTACTAGGCTTGTCTAAGGGGCTCATACTTCATGCTTGTTTCAAGGCTCATTCAGAGAATATTGCATGCGGGCGCGTGTGACGACGGTAAGTCGCCCCTCCATCTCACGCTGCGGACCATCCATGTTGTCGCGTGGCGTTCTGCGAACCGAATGTCCAGGCGAGGGACCCAACCATGTGCAGTTGTGAGCAACGCAGTTGTGGGTATCGACCCCGGTGAACCTCTCTGGGGTCACGACGCGTGTGAAGGGTGTCCCAAAATTGACACGGGTACGCCATGCGGACGCTGCCACTGGAGCCGTCGGTGGAGCACCCTATGGGGCCGCGGAACGTGCGAGGGGTGCGCCGAAAGGGGGGGTGGAGCTGCATGCGGACCCTGCCACTGGGGTCTTCGGCGGAGCACCATGTAGGGCCACGAAACGTGTGAGGGGTGCGCCGAAATGGGGGTGGAAATGCTTGCGGACCCTGCCGCTGGGGCCTTCGGCGGAGCACCCCATGGGGCCACGAGACGTGTGAGGGGTGCGCCGAAATGGGGGTGGAACTGCATGCGGACCCTGCCACTGGGGCCTTGGGTGAAGCACCCCATGGGGCCACGAGACGTGTGAGGGTGCGCCGAAATGGGGGGCGGAACTGCATGCGAACCCTGCCACTGGGGCCACGGGGGCCTTCGGTGCGGCACCCTATGGAGCCACGAAGCGCTCGAGGGGTGCGCCAAAGTTGAGGTGGAACTGCATGCGGACCCTGCTACTGGGGCGGCGGAGCACCCTATGGGGCCACGAAGCGTGTGAGGGGTGCGCCGAAATGGGGGTGGAACTGCATGCGGACCCTGCCACTGGGGCCTTCGGTTGAGCCTATGGGGCCAGGAAGCGTGTGAGGGGTGCGCCGAAGTTGAGGTGGAACTGCATGCGGACCCTGCCACTGGGGCCCTCGGCGGAGCATCCTATGGGGCCACGAAGCGTGTGAGGGGTGCGCCGAAATGGGGTTGGAACTGCATGCTGACCCTGCCACTGGGGCCTTCGGCGGAGCACCCTATGGGGCCACGAAACGTTCGAGGGGTGCGCCGAAATGGGGGTGGAAATGCATGCGGACCCTGCCACTGGGGCTTCGGCGGAGCACCCTATGGGGCCACGAAGCGTGTGAGGGGTGCGCCGAAATGGGGGTGGAACTGCATGCGGACCCTGCCATTGGGGCCTTCGGTGGAGCACCCTATGGGGTCAGGAAACGTGTGAGGGGTGCGCCGAAATGGGGGGGCGGAACTGCATGCGGACCCTGCCACTGGGGCCTTCGGCGGAGCACCCTATGGGGCCACGAAACGTGTGAGGGGTGCGCCGAAATGGGGGTGGAACTGCATGCGGACCCTGCCACTGGGGCCTTCGGCGGAGCACCCTATGGGGCCACGAAACGTGTGAGGGGTGCGCCAAAATTGAGGTGGAACTGCATGCGGACCCTGCCACTGGGGCCTTGGGTGGAGCACCCTATGGGGCCACGAAACGTGTGAGGGGTGCGCCGAAATTGAGGTGGATCTGCATGCTGACCCTGCCACTGGGGCCTTCGGTGGAGCTCCCTCTTGGGCCACGAAGCGCTTTACTGGGTGAAACGCAGGGAGGAGGGAGGATGGGGAGGAGGGAGGGGGCAGCGGGAGGAGGAGGAGTGGGACGCGGGGCGCTGTCTCTTCAAAACGATGACCCAACACCACAGGATGGTTGGGAATTTGGCTTGTCTGACGAGTTCAGACTTGTTTGCGAAGAGCTGGTGGGTGCGGCCGGCAGTTGGCAGGCTGCTCTCGGGGTTGCTTGGTCGTGTTTCCCTACGAGTGTGTCTATCGGGGGCTCCCTGGGCTTGTGTCCTTTCCAGGCGTGGCCTGGGTGCCTGGCCTTGGTTCCTTGGTTCCTTTGGTTTTGGCTTGCAGAAGTCTGGGCCTCCTGGATGGGGTCGGAGTAGGTGGGTTCGGAGGATCGCACCGCATCGCCGATGCATCGTCGATTTGGCTCGATGTGGATCCCGATTTTCTCTGGGCTGGCGTCGCCGATGCACCGCCGACGTCGCCGAAGCATCGGCGATGCATTGTCGATGCAGCATCGATGTATCGGCGATACAGCGCGATCCTCCGATCCCATCTTCTCGGACCCCATCTAGGAGGCCTCTACCAAGGGGTTCTTATTTGGGGCGTTCCGACAAGGGCCTTGCCTTCGCGAATCGAAGGAGTTGTCATTTCTTCCTCGGCGGAAGGCGGCGGAAGGGCGGAGGAAGGTCGGCGGAAGCAAAACGAGACCGCCTCCGCCGGCGGAAGCCGGCGGAAGGGCGGCGGAAGGCGGCGGAAGGAAGAGATGCGCCCCCAAGAGAGGAACACGTTTTTTGGGTTCGGGGTTTCCGGAATCCGTCGGTGAAGAGCCAGGAGCCCAGTGGTTGCGGTCGGCGGTGTGCGCCGGCGGCTTCCGGGGCTCCTCGGTCGCGTCTCCTTGCGCGGGTGTCCCTCGGAGGTTCCTTGGCTGCGTGTGTCTTCACCAGGCGTGGCCCCAGTGCCTCGGTTCCTGGGTTCCTTGGCTCCTTGGCTCCCTGGTCCTGCTGCCTTGGTTCCGTGGTACTTGGTGCTGGTTCCTTGGTTCCTTGGTCCTGCTTCCTTGGTTTACCAGTCTCGGTTCCTTGATTCCTCGGTGCTGGTTCCATGGTTCCTTGGTCTTGACCTCGTCGGGGTTCTTCCAGAGCGGTCCTCGCCACCACGTCATCGCGCCATCACATCACGACACTGGCTTCTTTCTCGACGTACTTGCTTGCCTGCGTGCTTCCTTGCTTACTTGAAGACATGCTTCCTTACTTGTCTACTTGCGCATTCCCTCACTTACGTACGTGCTCCGTCACTCTCACACTGTTGCACTTACATGCTTCCTTCCTTCCTTCCTTCCTTCCTTCCTTCCTTCCTTCCTTCCTTCCTTCCTTTCGTACATACATACATACATACATACATACATACATACACACACACATACATACATACATACATACATACATACATACATACATACATACATACATACATACATACATCCACATTCATACATACATACATACGTACATACGTATACACTGACATACTTCTATACTTACATACTTACATACCTACACACCTACATACGTACATACTTACATACTCACACACTCACATACTTACATACTAACATACTAGCATACTTACATACTAGCATACAAACATACATACAAACTTACGTACTCACTTACTTACTTACTTACTCACTTACTTACGTACGTACGTACGTACGTACTTGCTTACTTACTTACTCCACTCACTCACTCACTCACTCACTCACTCACTCACTCACTCACTCACTTACTTACTTACTTACTTACTTACTTACTTACTTGCTTACTTGCCTACTTACCTACTTACTTACTTACTTACTTACTTACTTACTTACTTACTTACTTACTTACTTACTTACTTACTTACTTACTTACTTACTTACTTACTTACTTACTTATGTACATACTCACGTACTGACGTACTTACTTACATGCTAGTGCTTACTTAGGAAGCTTTCTCCTGATTGGGGTCGCACCGGGCTCATTCATCCTGGATCGATCTTTTACGCTCCCTGGGGTCCTAAACGGGCCCCCAGATGGTGACATCGAGGGAAACGCCCTTCTCCTTCTCCCCCTCGATGCAGCCGCAAGCGCGAACAGCTCTTGTCCGCGCCTCTGATGGTCAGAGGCGAGTGGCGCCTCTCTCAGACCGCCTCTGCCACCGGGGGGCGAGCCGTGCGCAGACGGCCACAGGCAGAGAGTGGAGCCAGATGGAAGTGCGAGGTCCCTTTTCGAGCTCCTCCTCCTCCTCCTCCTCCTCCTTATTCTCCTCACTTCCCCTCGTCGTGACCACCGCCTCACCGCCTCCCGCCGCGCCACCCCCCCGCCCCTCGGCCGCACTCCCTCTGGCTAGTTGGCAACCACGCTGCCCTCTCTCCCCCTTGGTCCTCTTCTTATTGTTCCGCCTCCTCCTCCTCTTCCCTCGACGTCGTGCGCGTTTGTTCCGCATGCTGGGTGAGGAAGTGAGCGGCTTTCACGTGCAACCTCCCTGGCCGCACCAGTACGTCGTTGTAAACCAGGTTTGAGGTGCGTGGCGGCATTCGCATTGCATCGCCAGCTGTTGAATCATGCTGTCCGCTCCCATCTTCTCCCCCCCCCAAAACAACTCCCTCTGGCTGGCAGCCGTGCGTGGCCGCGCTGGACGAGCCGGTGGCGCACCTGGACATGCCCGCCCGCGCCCCGCTGCTGAAGGCGGCCCTCGGCGCCCTCCCCGAGGCCGTGGGCGGCTCCTCGGCTCCTCGGCCTCTGGGGGGATGGGGGGAGGAGGGAGGATGATGGGGGAGGAGTGGATGAGGAGGAGGCGGAGGAGGAGGAGGAGGAGGAGGAGGAGGAGGAGGAGGAGGAGGAGGAGGAGGCGGAGGGGGAGGAGGCGGAGGAGGAGGCGGAGGAGGAGGAGGAGGCGGAGGGGAGGAGGCGGAGGAGGAGGAGGAGGAGGCGGAGGAGGAGAGGAGGATGAGGAGGAGGAGGCGGAGGAGGGGGGGGCGGGGGACAAGGAGAAGGAGGCGGAGGAGGAGGAGGAGGGGTGGAGGAGGAGGGGAGGAGGAGGAGGAGGAGGAGGATGAGGACGGGGGGAGGGGGGAACGAGGAGGGTAGTTTGCCAGTAGCTGCAGCCTCGGGAGGTTCAGCGGGCGCCCGCGAGGCGCCCGCGGGCGTGCACTGGGCGGGCACCTGGCGAAAGCTTGGAGATCCCAGGCAGCGCACGGCCGGACACGAGCCGAAAGTCTTGGAGCTCCCAGCCGGCAGTGCGCCGAGAACTCGGAAATCCCAGCCAGGGCACGACTGCGCGCACGACGATACGCCCATTCGGCTGGGTACCAGCCGAGCACTTAGGAAGTTTCGCGCCCACTTGGAAAAAGAAAGTGGAAGCGCGCGAGAGAATGGTTCAGGGAAAGCGGGGCGGGGAAACGAGGCGTTGGAGGGGGGCAGGGGGGAGGAAGGAGGAGGAGGAGGAGGAGGAGGAGGAGGAGGAGGAGGAGGAGGAGGAGGAGGAGGAGGAGGAGGAGGAGGAGGAGGAGGAGGAGGAGGAGGAGGAGGAGGAGGAGGAGGAGGAGGAGGAGGAGGAGGAGGAGGAGGAGGAGGGAGGAGGGAGGAGGGAGGAGGGAGGAGGAGGGAGGAGGGAGGAGGAGGAGGGAGGAGGAGGAGAAGGAGGAGGAGGAGGAGGAGGAGGAGGAGGAGGAGGAGGAGGAGCAGGAGAGGAGGAGGAGGAGGAGGAGGAGGCGGAGGAGGAGGAGGAGGCGGAGGAGGAGGAGGAGGAGAAGGAGGAGGAGGAGGAGGACATGGAGCAGAGGGAAGAGGCGGCGGCGGATGACGGTGAGGGGAACACGGGCATGCGGGTCGTCGAATGCCTCTTGCAATCGCTCGCAGAGCCAATGTCTCCAGACCACGGTGCTGGTGATCAGCCACGACGTGACCGAGGAGATTCAGGAACTCTTCAGCTCCAAATTCGCCCTGGACGTGGAGAACAAGTCGCTGCGACGGCGGTGAGCGCGGAAAAGTTCCCAGGCCAGGAAGTGCGCCCAGGAGTTCCAGGGGAGTTTTCCCCTCTTGTGGCATGGCCCAAGGATGTCTCATATTGGTGGCCTAGAGGTTGACACCAACACCAATATCAGCGGCGTGCCTCCACCGAGGGAAGATGCTCCCGATCTCGGTGATGGTTCTAATCTTTGGGCTTCTAAGTGTCCGAATATTACCACCAGCACTAATATCTAGTATCATCTTCCCCCAGTGGAGGCAGCCCCCTGTGTTGATGTTGGTGCCCGTTTCCAGGCCTCTAGCCATAGCTTCGCATCATTCGAGGCTCCGTGAATCACGCTTGCTTCGGTTCCTTGTTTGGCGCTGTCCTCGCATGGCGGGGACCCCGCGCACCCTGCAGAAAGGAGTGACCGACGGTCAGCCTGAAGATGGTAACCGCCTGATCCAGGGAGAGTTCTCCCGCTTGGAGTGCGGGGTCCATAGCGCGAGGCGTCTTTGACCCTTTGCGACCTCTCTTTTCCACGCTCCCGATCTCAGACTGTCGCGTCTCGTTATCTGCCAGGGGCAGTGGAAGTTTGGGGATTCGGCCCAGGGGGGGAACATCGATCCCCAATCGCCCTTGCATCGCCGATCGGGGCCGGGGTGCGGCCTGCGCTGCCCAGGTTCCAGTACCTGTGTGCGACGGTCTCTTGAATCTCTAAATGTAATTCGGGCGTTTCCCTCTACAGGAGGAATAGTCAAAACAATAATCAGGGGACGACTTTTCTATTATTTGTGGGCTAATTTTGAATAATTCTGGAATATTTTAAACTTTTCTTTGAACATCCGCCTGTAGGAAGACATGCCCGACCTAACTCGAAATCGTCTGGACCCGCTTTCCGTGCATCGTCTGGATCGTCATGGACCCTGTTCTTTCCCGGAAAGAGCTGTGTGAAAAATCCGTATGTCGAAGGCCCCACAGGAAATGGGACTCCACGTAGCCCTGGATATGCAGGCCACTGGTATGATTCCACGGGGGAGGGGTTGCCACCTCCCGAGCGGAGGTACTTACAGGCATTTTGGGGTCAAGAAAGCGCGCCTCTCGCGCTGATCCTTTTCCCAGAGGGATGCACGGCAATGCCGCTTGCCGAGCTTGGTGCGCTTGCTTGATGGGACTCTTCGGAGTTATGAGCGCAGCGTTACGATGCGGAGCGGCGCAAAAACAACTTACAGGCATTTTGGGGTCAAGGAGAGCATTAGTCGGCCTGCGAGAGTGTCGGCGATACGTCGCCGATGGCAGTCGGACGTTCTCCTCTGAGCCCGTCCCCTCCCCCCCGTCGCCGTCGGTTTTACGCGACGGCAGATTGTCGCCCAGAGCAGTCTTACCATACTTCCGACGACTCGATCTGTGAGCTTTTGGCACCCCTAGACCTCTCGTCCCCTTCACTAGGGCCGCTTTTGAACCCCGAGCTATTTTTGTTGACGGTCCCGGGGCCGTGAGCTAATTTTCGAAGGCCGAAGGTGGCTAAGCACACAACGGTGACGTTTGCTCCAGCATGTCCAGTGCCGAGTCGCAGTAGCTGCCATTTTGCTTTGAGTTCAGGACGGACGGCACGCGGTGCTTGTTGCAGCCCGCTGCCGAGGAGAAGGAGGGAGGAGGGAGGAGGAGGAGGAGGAGGAGGAGGAGGAGGAGGAGGAGGATTAGGAGCAGGAGGAGGAGGAGGAGGAGAGGAGGAGGAGGAGGAGGAGAAGGAGGAGGAGGAGGAGGAGAAGGAGGGATGAGGAGGAGGGAGGGAGGGAGGGAGGGAGGGAGGGAGGGAGGAGGGGGAGGGAGGGAGGGAGGGAAGGGGGGAGGGAGGGGGAGGGAGGGAGGAGGGGGAGGAGGGAGGGGGGGGGAGGAGGGAGGGAGGGAGGAGGAGGAGGAGGAGGAGGAGGAGGAGGAGGAGGAGGAGGAGGAGGGGGGGGGGAGGAAGGGACGGATGATGATGATGAGGAGGAGGAGGAGGAGGATGATGAAGAGGAAGAGGAGGAGGACGAGGAGGAGGAGGAGGAGGAGGATGAGCAGGAGGAGGAGGAGGAGGATGAGGGAGAGGAGAAGGAGGAGGAGCAGAGAGGAGGAAGAGGAGGAGGAGGAGGAACAGGAGGATGGAGGAGGAGGGAGGAGGACGGGATGATGATGATGATGATGATGATGATGATGATGATGATGATGATGATGATGATGATGATGATGATGATGATGATGATGATGATGATGATGATGATGATGATGATGATGATGATGATGATGGTGATGATGATGATGATGATGATTGATGATGATGGGGAGGAGGAGGAGGAGGTGGAGGACCAGTGTAAACCCAAGAGCCATCAAATTGTTGGAATGAACCCTCCCTCCAAGCTCCCTCTTCACATGCCCCCACACAGGGTTCATTTCCGCTGAGGGAGCTGCCTCGTTGGAAGATAACCCTTTGAATACCCTGACGCATGCCAAGACATTGTTCTCGGGATTTTGACGCCACGGATCAGCCTGACTGCTGCGCTTTGACGATCCGGGACCGTGGCAGAGCGCCATTCCTGGGACTTCAACGCCGCGAATCAACGTAACGGTTGCACCGTCATTATCATGAATCTTTCCAAACACCATTTCTGCTATGCTGATCATGGGAACCAGTGACACTCGTTTTTTCATATAAAAACGAATGTGCTCGGCGATAAGGAGAGAGCCACATTCTGAAACGGGCCCGCCCTCAATTCGTGAAATCTTGCACACTTTTAATACGAGTGTGCGCGGCGCTCAGGCGACCACATTTTGACAACCACCCGCTTTCAATCCGTGGAACTTTTGCACTTTTGCACTTTGTACAACGAATGCGAATGCGCGCGGCGCTAAGGTGATAGCCACGCTTTCAAAACTACCCGCCCTTAATCCGTGAAACTTTTGTGTTTTTTATGCGACTGTGCTGTGCGCTTAGGCGAGAGCCACATTTTGAACACGACCTGCCCTCCATCTGTGAAACTGTTTGTATGGTTAAACTTCAGGGTCATCACTGGTGAGCAAGTCTCAGGCGAAACGCCTGGACCGCCCTAAAAACTTGCCTGAGGTGCGACAGGGCAAAGTTATTCCTTATAACAAGGAGTGCAGGAGGAGGAGGAGGGGGAGGTTTAGGAGGAGGAGGAGGAGGATGAGGAGGAGGAGGAGGATGAGGAGAGGAGGAGGGTGAGGAGGATGAGAAGGAGGAACAGGAGGATGCGGAGGAGGAAGAGGAGGAGGAGGCGGAGGAGGAGGAAGAGGAGCAGGAGGAGGAGGAGGAGGAAGCGGAGGAGGAGGAGGAGGTGGAGGAGGAGGAGGAGGAGGAGGAGGGAGGAGGAGGGGGGAGGAGGAGGAGGAGGAGGAGGAGGAGGAGGAGGAGGAGGAGGAGGAGCAGGATGATGATGAGGAGGAGGATGAGGAGGAGGAGGAGCAGGAGGAGGAGGAGGAGGAGGAGGAGAAGGAGGAGGAGAAGGAGCTGATGATGAGGAGGACGAGGAGGAATACGGGGAGGAAGAGGAGGAGGATGAGAGGGAGGAGGAGGAGGTGGAGAAGGATGAGAAGGAGGAGGCGAAGGAGGAGGAGGAGGAAAACGAGGAGGAGGATGATGAGGAGGAGGAGAGGAAGAAGAGGAGGGGGAGGAGGAGAGGAGGAAGAGGAGGAGGGGAGGAGAAGGAGGAGGAGGGAGGAGGAAGAGGAGGACAGGG